CCCCTTCCCCCCCCCTCCCAAAACAGATTTACCAGCCAAACGCTGTTCTCCACGTCGCTGGGCTGGCTGCATGCATGCTGCGGCTATGCACACGTACTCAGCATTTATCAGTGACATTATCAGCCACATCAGCCAAAAGAAACCAACTGCTGATAATGTCAGTTTTCCTTTTATTGGTGCCAATACAATATGGACCACTGTATCCGTGTACCTCTAGCTTCAAGAATTCAACTAAGTCTATAAAAGCAAAGAATTTTGCATATTAAAAGGAAGAACATGCCACCACGATTTAAAAATAAGGGGGGAAAAAAGTGTCACCTCCATTCAAATATCTTCTCTATACCCCTTCCTACACTGTCATGTGTTCTATGAAATGTCTTTATTTGTAAATTAACTCAAGATACATCTCCAGTATAGTGGCTATAGTCACACTGCCTCAATGACATGCAGGTATATCCTATCCTAAACAAAACAAACTTCTTCCCTGATTGCATTCTTGTCTTCATATTTCATTTGACAGTAGTGCCTGAAAATCTAATCAAGGATCAGAGATCCATGGTTCTATACATTGTATAACATAATAAAGAACCGATCTCTGCATCCAGATCTTAAAAACTAGGTGGATTAAACACCCAAATCTTACTTTGTTACTATTTTAACAATACAGTGATCTTATTTTGCACAATGAATAAAAGCATATGAAGACTTGAAAAATACACTTACCACATTTAGAGTAGGCAAGCCTCAGCCTAAAATATCTATATGTCCATACTTTTTTAAGTGTTCTGAGCTTGTAGTTTTAAAAGCTACTTTCCAAACACAAACTGATGCAAGATTATCTCCCTAAAGTGTGTTTTTACCAACTATAGCAAGTACTCACTACCAAAATTACAGAAAGGTCAAGCTTTTTGTAAAGAATGTATTTGGTTCCCTAAACTGAGACTCTATACTGGGCTAGTTTTCAAAACACAGGCACTCAGCACTTACTAAAGGGCCCCTAAAGGGCAGCTAAAACCAGTAGGATGTTTTGAGGTTTTCAAAATCATTAGCTTCAGTAGTAGCAGGGAACTGTCCATCCTCTGGATCATGGTGTATGCGTAAGAGGTCTAGTTAGGTCCCTGATAAATCCACTTGTAAAAGCCCTGCAACCATTACACCAAGACCTTGGATGTATATGTCTAGGTGAGAGTACGAAGGAGTGGAGGCTGCCCAAGACCTACCATCCCCACTTTAAACCACTGAGTCAGAATCTAAAGGCCAGACCGAGTCCAGACATTCAGTGCCTCGAAGCTCCGTAGCTTCTGCCAGAGAGCAACAAATAAGAACTGCTGATGACTCTAATGCCTC